AAAACTAATGTCATCCTTAAGAAGATTACGGACATACTACGAAAAGACGTCCGGAAGCACAATTGGCGTTCTCCTGCTTTACAGACTAATTCATAAAATGCAAAAGAGATCGGAAGGTAATCAAGGTCATCATTCAAACATCCCAGTATCGCACAATAAAGGAAGCAACCAGAAGTCTCTGAACGTGTTACCAACTGGAACCAAAGATTCACTTACACTGATGATAAAAGTTCACCTCAAATAAGAACGTTCCGGATATGTCTCCAAAAAGACTCCAAAAGCAAACCCAATAAGAATACCACGCACGATGCCAAGATTCATGAAACGTCGAACTCGTGCTGCTGTATGCTTTCATTTGTAACTATGACTGATCACTTTCCTTCCAGGACAAAGATCCAGCCTCTAAGAGGGTTTTATTTCTTTAGCGTGGAAGTATTCTCAAAGTCGTTTGAGTTACGGTGATTTTTCTGCAGGGCCTCTTGTTGGGATGCAATAAAACAACGCCGCCTGCTCAAGTTAAGGAATGGGAATGATGGGAAACTTGCAGTTCTTTTCGTTCTTCACTGTAATCAAATATAGTTTCGATGGCTGCTCGCTGCTTTTCCGAATTTCGTGACCATTCGGTCTCCAAAGTTGCACATTTCTGATCTTCCTTTGCTCAATCAAGTGAGAAAAATCGTGGAGCACAGTTCAGTAGATATTAGAAACAAGTATTTATCTTAGACAAGCCAATGGTTTCAAAAGCATGGATCGAGAGATCTATAGGTGCTATACGTCTAATATCCTACCCAAACCTTGCATCGTTGATCAGGTTTGGGATACATTGGTGAGCCTTGTCGACAGCCGAAATCCTTTCCGAAAGATGGGATATCTTGCATAACTTGATTCGTTCGGCAAGAGCCTGGTGCATGGGGATTTGTCAAGAGCTAAAATAACAAAACAAGTAAACTTCTTATCCAAGCGACTTGTAATAAATCTACCTGGTTGACTAGGTTTGCATCATTCTGCTTCATGCACCACGAGTAACCATAGGTTATCCAGAAAATCTGATTAGGCGAAAACTGTGCCAAACCAGGCAGCCTGCAATTGAGGACCTTTGTATTTAGAAACGATTTGTATTTTATGCATAGAGAACAGTACGTATGTACATATTTTACGATGACTCGTATAGGGCCATCAATAATTACCCTTTTTGACCACTTTGAATAGATTTGAAGAAGTTTAAGCAATATTTAAAATTCTGGAAACAACATTCCGACCAAGATAACAATGGTCGGCAGATGGCTCTATTTTTTTTCTGCTGAAACTTCACCGATGGGGGTTTTCGAGGGTCCTGATCACGAATATGATATCCATTTTTGGCGCTGGCGCCAAATTGGCGCCATTTGGCGCCAGGTGGCGCCACGACTGATTCTCACCAAATTCGCTGTAAACTTGTGTATAGGGGTTATTTGGGGCCCTGATTACGAATATGACATTCGTTTTTGTCGTTAGCGCTACTCGGCGCCTGTCTTCTGCTTGTCTGGTAGTAGACCTGATAGTTCGCAATCAGGACCTAGTATTTGGAGAATAGAGGGCTTCGAGGTAAATGAGCTACTCACTCTCCAGTCCCATATACTTCTGGTTCTGGTACACGGTGTGCGGTTCTCCGCTGGGAGTCTCCTGCTCAAAGCTTAGTCCTGGGTGCTATAAGTGAGAGACCCAGGAAAGCAGAAAACAAGCGTTAAATAGCGCAAATGTCAAAAACGAATGTCATATTCGTAATCAGGACCTCAAATAACCCCCATAACAAGTTTACAGCGAATTTGGTGAGAACCCTGGCGCCAACTGGCGCCAATTTGGCGCCAGCGCCAAAAATGGATGTCATATTCGTGATCAGGAGCCTCGATAACCCCTAGCAAAGTTTCAGCAAAAAATTTTTTGACTCCATCTCATCTTCGCTAGGGTTGTAGTAGTACAATAGAACCAGTCTTCCGGGCGTTGGTCAGACTAACGTCAGTATTGGGATTCAAATTCGCACATCCGTCAGTCGCGCTAGTCTGCTTTACTACGAAGCCACACCTCTTACTTTCGGATAACATCTGTATCTTCCATCACTAATTGACTCTTAAAGAAAATAAAGTTTGTGTTTTCGGCCGAAACATTCAGCTTCAAACAAACATCTTCCACCACTAACCACCACTAATTGACTGTTAAAGAAAATAAAGATTGTGTTTTCGGCCGAAACATTCAGCTCACTAGGCAAAGTCGGTAATTGGGCTACACCGACTGGTAAGAGCAAGTGCCGATAGGTGATGACTAGAGTGATGACCAATCTACGAAGTGTGCCATAGACACGGTAATAAGTAGTTATTGGTACAGAAAGCAAAATTCATAGTGATTTCATGAGAGTTTAGAACAGTATTAAGTTTATTAAGTTTAGAACATCTGGTTTCGCGCCGTAAGGACTGAATGCTTCAGTACCCAGTACAATACTATACTATATGGTATGCTTTGACACGAATTATATCCTAAAAACACGGAAGCGTTTCGACATGGCACCCAGGGTTCTATGAAGGTTCAGCTCATGCCCCATCCACCGAGCTTTTCAGGGCTTTAGCTGTGGCTAGATTCAGTGGATGAGCTTCGCTTTTGAACACATCGATATATTGTTCTCACGTAATTTCTCGTCTGAATAAGATCCGATAATGGTCTACGGGGAACATTGTTCGGGAACGGTTGTTACCCATAGTTTTCTCAATGAAGAGTTCAGAGAGCATTCATGAGACGGAGGCTCCCAACAGTGTACCACATTTTGTCCACAGTAAAACTTCTTGAGTGATCATGACCTTTTCGGTGTTAATGGGGATATTTGTCTGGAAACACAAATTCAGCCCAAATCTCAGTAGAGAAAAAGAAATCGTTACGAAGAATGGTCTCCCCATTCGCTTCACTAATGTTGGTAAACATACGGATGTTCAGAACGTTGAGCGATGCCATATATGCTATTAGGTTGGAAAGAAAGTTCTGAAACACCCCACAGCCAAAATTTTAAATTTATTTTTTATCCTTTGTTTTTTCTAAGACCCGGAACATATTGACCATCAGACTTAGCAACACTACGCCAACCTTCGGGCAATTGGCTGACACCACATTTGTAGAAATTAGGAGAATTTTTGTCAAACAACTTTTGAAGTCGGATTTGCGTCCTTCTCGTCGTCGAGCTTTCTGTTCTCCAGGTAATGAGCGAGCGAGCAGGAAAGGTGGAAGACGTGTATGGATAGGTTTGACGAATATGGCAGACGGGCAACCGCGGTCCAGCCTAGCTTGAGAATCTTGTGGCTTGAGACCGAAGACCCGCGCCGACGCGCGTTGTCGTGAAGCAGATTGACTTGTC